GGGGCAGTCTGGACGCGCCGCATCGACAAAGAAGCCTTTCTTGATCGGCACAGGTAAACCTGGTTTCACGAGGCATACCTGTGCCGATCAAGAAAGGCTTCTTTGTCGGCGCGGCGCGTCCAGACTGCCCCGATCTGCCGACAAACAGCTGATCGGCAGAGCGGGGCAGCCATTTAAATTTAAATGAAGCCGCAATTATTTTAATCGCGGCTTCATTTCCCTCCGCCGATCTGTCTAACCTACATGCCTCCGTCGACGGAGGCATGTAGTCTAGACACACCCTTTGGTGCAAGGCGCTGTACGGACCCCAGTCCAAAAAGACACCCGATGCCGAAGAGAACTAGCAGTAATACATGTGGGGGATTTGAATTTGCTGGAGCCTTTAGGAATCCATTTTTTTTTTCTTTGCTGCCACTGGAAAGCTTAGAAACTTCTCCTGAGCATTGATGAAATCTTAGGCTGTTATGATTTTAATTGCTTGATTTAATAAGCGCTCAGAGCCTGAGGGAATCACAGGACTCCGGGAACTGGGGCTTTAAGAGAAAAAATCGAATATTATGACACAACTAAGTGCTGGCAACACTTAGGCCTAGTCTACATTACACTGACTCCTTCTTCCCCCAGCTGATCTAATCTGCACAATTTCAGCTATGCAAAGAGTGTAGCTGAAGTCTATGTACTTATCGCGGTGTCTTCCACACAGTAAGGTGGGTGAGGGCTGTTCACCTGTCAACTCCAGCTACTCTTCTCACTCTGGTGGAGTGCCAGAATCGTCGGGAGAGCACTCGGAGGTTGATTTATCATGTCTAAGCAGACGCAATAAGTCAACCGCCGGTGGATCGATTGCTGCAGCGTTGATCCCCGGTCTAATGTAGACAATCCTTTAAAATTGAGTCACGCCACTTTGGAGCCCAAGTAAGAGCATCCACACAGGTGTGTGCTCTGGTTCAAATTAAATCAGAGGCTGGTGCAAAGGCTGTGTGTAGGCAAGGGTGCAGAGGCTAGGGCAGGCTGTACAGAAAATCGCTAGAGGGGTGCCTTTCCTGGGGAAGAGGGGGGAGGTCGAGTCCCAGTGTGCTTCAGGGTGAGAGTGTGAGGCTAACCCCGTGGCCTAAGTACAAGAAGGGGAAAGCATTTTCATTGTTGAAGGAGGCCTGCATCATAGTCGTATGGTCATCTTCATAAAATCCAACCCACCCCTCTTCATAATCCAGACAAACCCCGATCTTCCCGGATTTCACACACCCCTGTGAGGACACATCAGAGGCACCGTCTGCGTCCCTCCGAAGCCACCAGCACCCACGACTCCAGATCCCCTCCTCCGGCTTAAGATCGAGCAATTCATTCCTCTTCACCGACTCTAAGGCGACTCCCACGGCCCACTCCCGCTGCTCCCCAACCTCCACCTCCCAGTAATGTCTCCCCGAGGTGAACCCCTCGGCGCCCAGCACGCAGGGAGCAAGCTCAAATCTCTTGGGATTGGGGGGCACGTCCTGGGGGTGGTCTCCCGCCTTCACGGACTTCCCATCCGCAGACAGGAAGAGCCAGGCATTCGCCGTGTCCGGATCCAGAGTCACATCCGCTGGGCGGGGAGAGAGAGAAGCAGAGCGTTAGAGTCAGGGGGGATCTTCTCCTGTAGAAAATACCTGGGCAGAGTCCCGAGCACCCGGAGCAGGGACGACACAGCCACCACCTGGAGCCTCACGTGTCCCTTGTGGGCTTCTTTTGTGGACCTATTAGAGGCCCAATAACTGCAGCACTGGGCTGCCTCGTCTTCCGTATTAGGGATGTGAGGGTATGTCTACACTAGCCACCCTAGTTTGAACTACCCTGACATACCCTGAATGGTTAACTGGTTAAATCAGGGGTGAGCAATAATGTTTAATGGGGTGGGGCACTCCTAGATTTTGGCAAGTGGTCTAAGGCCACTCTCCTCTATGGAGAGGATGCGGGGTTTGGGATGGAGGCTAGGTGCAGAAGGGAGCTTGGGGTAAGGGATTGGGGTGCAGGAGAGGGTGTGGGGACTGGGAGGGAGTTTAGGTGGAGTAGGGGATTGAGCAAGTGGTCTAAGGCCACTCTCCTCTATGGAGAGGATGCGGGGTTTGGGATGGAGGCTAGGTGCAGAAGGGAGCTTGGGGTAAGGGATTGGGGTGCAGGAGAGAGTGTGGGGACTGGGAGGGAGTTTAGGTGGAGTAGGGGGTTGTGACCTGGGACAGGGGATTGAGGTGCAGGGTCTGGGAGGGAGTAGGGGGTGCAGAGTGATTTTTGACCTAGGAGAGGGGTGGAGCAGGGGTGCAGGATTGGGGAGGGAGTTTTGACCTGGGGTGGGATGTGTGGGCAGAGAATTTCAGTGGTGACCTGGGGCAGGAGGTTGTGGGGACGGAGGGGCTACGGCACAAGAGGCAGGCTCTGGCTGGGAGTCACTAATCGTTGGCGGTTCCCAGCCAGCAGCCCAGCAGGGTCCCCGAGGTAGGCTCCTTCCTGCATCAGCCCAACGCTGCTAAAGAGGTTCCCTCCATGTGCCGCTCAGGGCCACATGTCCCTGAGAGGGAAAAGACTTCCCACGTTCCTCTGGCCCCAGGCCAATCATCGCAGCTGGGAGCAGAGTCTGAGGGCGGGGGGACCGTGCAAACTCTCTCGCCCATCTCCCAGTGTCACACAGTGCCGAGAGGGAACTGTCAGCTGTTTTGAGCAGCTGGCGGCTCCCTCTATGCGCCATGCACCACTGGTGGCAGCGGTGGGGGAAGGAAACTTCACTCACTCCCCCGCCAGCCCCAGGCCAATCAGGTTCTGAAGGCAGGGGGCTGCACACAAGTGAGAAGTGAAGAAAAAAAGAAACCTCACTGACATGGTCCCTGACTTAGTAGAAGAAAGAAAAAACGCTCCCCACATTCCCTTTGCACACCAGAGCCTGGGCATGGGGGCTAGTAGATTTTGTATGCTCCAGCCCCGAGGGGGGGATCTGAGGGGGCCTGCAGCACCAATGCTGCATGGGAGCCCCGAGCTTCGAGGAAAGAATCCAGGCAACCCGGGGGCCTTATCCTGGGCCTTCTCCCCTGACTGAAAAACTCACTCAAATCTCAGGAGGACACCAGCACCTCGAAGGGCGGAGAGACAGTATCACAGGTTGAGGCTCAGGAAGAGGATGGATTTTACCTTTGCACTTCTTCAGGAGCTCGCTTCTCTCCAGCAGCTCCTCCCGGAGGAGTCTGGGAGCACGAGAAGACGCCATCTCAGCCCAACACTTCCCTTCTCAAGGCTAGAGGTAAAAACAAAGCGGATGACTAACCACCCGAACCTCTTCATGTGAAGGTTCATTCTTAACTGCTGTCGAAGACTCTGTTACTCACGGACAGCCGGCAATGAAGGGAAGGGAAGGGAAGGCTTTGCCTATGCAGAGAGACACGGGTGTCCCTGCCCATGTCCTGCCCAAGTCAAGCTCCCTTCTACCTGCCTGCAGCAGGCTGCTCTTGGACCAGGACTGGGTCTGGTGGCTGGCAGGGGCTGCCGGGGTTGGTCTGGCAGCAGGACCCAGGCTTCTTGGGC